TTATTGAATCGAGTGAGATGCCAACAAAATCTCCAAATTTATCCATAACCTAAACATGGCACTACCCTGGTATATATACTGTACATGGACGTGTGGCTTAGGACTGTTCGGTATACCGAAAATATCGGTATTAAATCAATATCGGTATATCGATACTGGATATTCAACCATACCGATATACCGAAATTTCCGATATACCGCAATTTTTCGGACTGTTAAATTTACCAAGTATATAGCGAAACCATAACCTTTATTTTACTACTGAATGGCAATTCAGAGAACTTTGTACTGCAATGATTTAGAATTTTCACTTCATGAGATTTTATACTGCGTACGTGTCGTTCGAAACATGTTCGAAACAGCTTCGAAATTATTGTTTTCCCTTTTAGAATTACTCAAAATTTCCTTCAAATTTCCATTAAAGAATTTTCCTTTATAATTATCAAAGGAAAGCCGGTATACCGATAATATCCGTATAATTTTCGGTATACCGATACCGGGAATTTCTCGTACCGAACATTCCTAGTGTGGCTAGAGCTCGACAACTGGCCCCTGTAGCTCAGTTAATAAGAGGCCGCAGGTTCGATTCCTGCCAGGAACCTATTTTTCGAAGCTGTTCTTGATTAGGTGTATAATAAATGTATATAAATTTCCATTCAACTCTCGAACAGATTCGATCTCGTAGCTCATTTGGTAGGTCAGTGAGCCAGCAAATTAAAGGTCAGAAGTTCGGTTTCCACCGTGATCAAACAGACAAACACCGTGATTAAATGAAGTTCAGTTTCCACCGATTCAGCTTGTTCGGTTAATGGATGTGCATTTCATCTCTTTGGCCGGGCTTCTGTTAATTATTGCAGCATGTGCAATGCGGCACCGCGGGAAGTAAGGGATGCCTCTCAGTGATGAGTTCAACACCACAGCGGACACAGCCACCAGATGTATTGATAATTGTACTATTGTTTATTAAATTATTAACCCATTAAGTTGCATTGCACCCTACTTGCATTGCACCCCATTGCACCCTATCAGGGGATTAGTTTATGGTTTGTATTAATTTTTATTTCATTACATGTATTAGGTTCTTCTGTACTTAAGAAATATCTTTGTATTTAGATTCATCTCCACGGCCGTCCATTTCGTCAGCAAAACTAGAACCTTATATGACAATAGTAAGTTACTCTTTATGATTACAGCCATTGAGCCACATGTTTTATAAATACTTATGACATTAGTAGTGATGATTGGTTAGTTTCATAAATATATAGATAGGTTTAATTTTCCATTGGATTTTTCTGATATGCAAGTTGTGTAAATATGAGGCATTGCGGCTATATTTTCACTCCAACTGGCGGCGAGGTATAATTAGTACATGACGTGGATGTATTAACAGTGCTCAGTAAGACTTTAAATCTCAATTTATTAAGTCTGTAAACTTTTGCAAGATCACATCAACTTTATGAATAGGTTGGTTTTGTTGTGCCCATCGATTATTTGATATTGTGCATGCAGCTGTAGCTTGCTGTATGCAGATAAAAAAATGTGGAAAGTGTAGCCTGTGTGGAAGGCTTATCAATAATTAGTAAAAACAACTATTTGTTAAAACTTTGGATTGTACCGTATGATATTTTACTTTCATTCCGAGCTGGAGTGGTTGTTTGATACTGTGGATTTCTAAAATTTTACTGGTGCCATTATAACCATTGCTTTGGCATTGCTATTATGCTGAAGTAATATAAAAAATTAGACTGTAATTTGTATTGCTGCTACGTCAGTTGACATTTTTTCTCCTCTCTCTGTAGGTAATAAATATGATTAATTCAGCAAAAGAAGGAAGCTCACCAAGTATTGCTACAAAACTATCAAGAGCGATTGTATGTATATAGTTTTGCTTACCTCAGCCTGTTTAAAGGCGCAGTTCAGCCTTTTGAATGATGGTTTTAAGCCGGCATTTCAGCCCTTTTAATTGAAAAAAACTAACTAGGAGTTTACTGATCTTGATTTACGCATAATTTTTAATTAAAAAGGCTAAAATTCGTCTTAAAAAGGCTGAACTGTGCCTTTAATCCATTCGTTGGTTATGGAAACACAATCCTAAAAGCTTATTGATATAATTTCATCATGTCAATATCGTACATAATGATAAACTCAGGGAATGATGCACCCATTCACCAGCAGTATAAATCAATAGTTAATTAAACTAGATACATGTGAGAAATGTACTTAAAATACTCATTAATAATTCATAAACCTTGTGCCAAATCATGTCAGCCATAATATGTCACGTGGAGTGACTTTATATCTGATAAAGCATGTGGCATTATATAATTGTTCATCCTAATTAGTATGATTATATAATGTTCACCCTAATTAGTATTCTTTTGTAGTCGTATTTTAAGCTATTCAAAACACTCGTTGTCGTGTTTTATCAGATTTAAAACGCGAGGCGCAGCCGAGTTTTAGTACTTATAATGTTGTAAAAGTACAGTTGGCTGATTTGTAAATTTGTTCGTCAGAGCTCTAGCAATTGTGCCATTAAGGGGCCATTCACAAAGGATGTCCGAGCCGGGGGGAGGGGGGTTTGGAAAATCAGGACAAACTCGGACATAGGGGGGGAGGGGGGTTTTTAGCAATCCGGATGTCCGAAATTTAAAAAAAATCAAAAACAAATTTCTTTTTCCCTTTATTTTGAGCAGTCCTTCCCATTGTGAAATTGGCATTTTGACTATGCAGTTAATACTAGATTTTGTTTTAATTAGTAATTTATATGTTTTTGTATTCACATTTATAGTTATAAAAAAGTTCTAAAAGTAAAAAAAGTTTTTTACTCTTGACATATACAAGGTTGCGTGAGTTTTTGCGAGGCATGGCGGATGTCCGGGGGGAGGGGGGTCACTAATTCGGATAATGCCGGACAAGGGAGGGAGGGGGGGTCTGAAAATCCATCATTTGGCCGGACATCCTTTGTGAATGGCCCCTAAGCATTTAATTAATTTAAATCTCTGGGGAATGATTGATAAATCAATAATTTTTCAGGGAGTACCCTCCCTCCCCCCACAGGAAATCCATCTATGCCAGATTTTCCAGACTAATAATAATGCCAAACATTGTCAATGACTATTATTGAGTTGACAATGTTTTAATAATTGTGCAAACACTAAATTATATTAACTTGACAAATCACAGCACATAAGCCACAAACATACCCTTACTCCTAGAGTACCCAGCAGCTTGTATTTAATAAGCAATAACATAGGCTTGGGCGGTTTTGCTTAAAATCAAAACCGAAAAACCGTCTGATTCTAAACCGGTAAAACCGAAAAACCGTTTTTTTCCCTTTAATTTGTATTTCAACTGTATGAGGAGGAATTGTAGTATTTTTCTGTCATAAGCAAACGAACAGTACATGACAAAACGCAAAATTGTGCAAAGGTAACCTAAAACGACTTCAGTTTTAAAATAAAAGGGTCAAGAACGCATTTGAAAACTTATACCTCTTCAGTTCTTACCGACTTTATGGAAAAAGAATAGAATTTGTATCTAGTGTCACGTAATTGAGTTTAATTGGTGTCATGTTTGGAGAATTAAGATCGAGTTTCAGGCGATGACAGTAAACAATTACGTAATGACGGTTTTCCGGTTTTTGTAAAAGCTAAACCGAAAAAACCGGTTTGAAAATAAAACCGAAAAAAAACACGAAAAACCGGTAAACCGCCCAAGCCTACGATAACAATAAGCTAACAGTGTTTTGGGCTGAATTTTAAAAATACCTTGCTTTGATTGGGCAAAAACAGACATGGTTTCTATTGCAAATTTAATAAATAAAAACAGTCTTGTGATTTCATCTCTTTTGGACTAATGCGATCTTGGAAAAACTCACACATGCTTTTTTTCTTGCACAAGAACATACCAACATGAAAATGCAAAAGCTTTTTTTGTGCCCCATTGGCTAAAAATGGGCTTTAAAACCAAGAAATAGGTTTTACATTTCAATTTGATCAAATCATTAAAATGATAAAATTGCTGTAAAATCCATGCCTCAATGTACCCTACTTTACTATTTTACTCAAGGGGGACTCTGGATGTGAATATCATAATCCCAAGCTATAGCAAGACATTTCTGTTTATTGCCCTTTTGAACAAAGGTTAGGCATAAAACTTACTGTCTAAGGTCTGATTCCTTCTATCCAAGGCATTGTCTTTCATTATCACAATTCGCATTTCGATAACTCTCCCACAGTTATTGAATGTTTGCACACAATATTACTGATCTCACCAAACTGTGGCATTGCAGCAAAAATTCATATTGCTGTCGCTCCTACGAACGTCTGTGACCACCATACATATTTTTTCAAATTTGCAATCTAATATTAATTGCAAACAGCCAATTCGATTCTTGGTAACAATTGCTATAGTTAGAATTGTAAAAATGCAAAAATATGCAAGTGTAGTTATAGAGATTTGTGGTAGTGATACAAATTTTTTATACCACAGTTCAGTGAGATCCGTATATATATATGATAACAAACACATTGTCTGTGTAATTAATATCCACATTCACAGTAAGATCCAAGAAAATGTTATTAACCAATAAATTGTCCACAAAATTGTTTGTTAAAATCCCAATGCTAAGTTCTGTGTAATAGATTTACTCTGTGCTTGGTTTATCAGTTACATTGTTCATCTTGCTTTGCTCTGCAGTACCAGTTACATTGTTCATCTTGCTTTGCTCTGGTGTATCAGTTGCAGTACTCATCTCACTTTGCTCTGCAGTATCAGTTACAATGTTCATCTTGCTTTGCTCTGCAGTATCAGTAGTTACAATGTTCATCTCGCTTTGCTCTGGTGTATCAGTTACAATGTTCATCTCGCTTTGCTCTGGTGTATCAGTTACAATGTTCATCTCACTTTGCTCTGGTGTATCAGTTACAGTGCTCATCTCATGTTGTTCTGCAGTATCAGTTGACTTGTTTGAATCACTCAGTTCTGGTGTATTTGTTGTCTTGTTAGAGTCATTTTGTTCTGGAGTATCAGAAGTCTTGCTCGAATCATTTTGATCCATTGCATTTGTGGCCTTGGTTGGGTCAGATAGATCTAGTGTTGGGTCACTTTCACCTAGTACATCAGTTGCATTTGCTGAATCACTTTGCTCAGCCAGCTTTCTTTTTCGGGCAGGTCTCTTTGTTCTGGTACGCCTGCTGGTTTTCCCAGAATTCTCGGTTCCTTCGGGTTCGGAATGCTTGCTCTTGATATGCCGATTGAGGTAACCAGTTTGAGCAAATGTCCTACCACAAGTGTCACACCGGTACGGTTGGTCTCCCATATGATGTTGTCGTTTGTGATGTCCTAGAGCACTTGACCATGCAAATACCTTAGGACAACAATCACATTTAAATGGTTTCTCTTCCTCGTGTTGTTTCCGATGCTCCCGAAGGTTCACTGACCAATAAAATGCCTTGTCACAAATATCACATTTGTAATGCTTGTTTCCAGTGTGTGTGTCCATGTGCCGTTTCAAGTCGTAGGACTGGGAATATGCTTTAGGGCACTGGTCACATTGAAATGGTTTCTCTCCCGTATGAGTTCTTCTATGACAGATGAGACTTGAGAGATGAGAAAGTGTTTTATTGCATATCTCACATTGAACAGGTTTGTATGCTTTGTCACACACATGTGTTGCTTTATGACATTTCAAACTGGGTGCCGAGGCATATTTCTTATCACACTGGTCACATTCATGTGGTTTTTCTGATAAATGTGTTGCTTTGTGTAATTTTAGTGAACTTGACTGAGTAAATCGTTTCTTACAAACATCACATTCGTATGGTTTTTCACCAGTGTGCGTACGCGAGTGATATCTCAGCGTCGTCAAGCCAGTAAATGCTTTGTTACATTCTGTACATTTATAAGGCTTCTCTCCCATATGCTTCCGTTTGTGATACTTCAAATCTGCTGATTTAAAATATGCTTTTGGACAAAGGTCACATTGATACGGACGCTCTCCTGTGTGTTTACGTTTGTGACGAACCAAGTCACCTTTCTGAGAACAGCCTTTGCCACAAACATCACAAACATAAGGTTTTTCACCAGTGTGCATGCGTTCATGGCGGATGAGCTGGTGAGGTTGTGAAAATGTTTTGACACAGAAATTACAACTGTATACTTTAGGATCTTTTCTAGGTGATGGTAACAAATTGAGGGTATTGACCATGACATTACCAAAATCTGAACTAATTTCCATATCTTGAGGGGGATTTTGGGTACCAATGTCCACATATTGAGTGGTTTGTTCTGACAATCCATCATTTGCTATACTTGTCAAAAGACTTGCATCCTCAACACCTGACTGAGTAACAACCAAACTCGAATGTAGCTCTATCGATCCATTATTTTGATCTGTTAAACCTTGATTTAATGCAACCATGCCTTCCTGCGCTACGACTGTAAAACTCGCCCCAGTTGACGCACCTCCACCCTCGACTTGACTGACTGTTGTTACAACACCATGTTGATCGACGGGATGACTATCTCCTTGTAGTCTGTGAAGACTGTGATCCCCTGCCAACACCTCTTGTACTGCATTAACAATGTCTGTCAAGCCCAGATGTACAATGGTTGGGTCAGCTTCAATCTGCTTAACTTGGTCCATCAACTGGGGATCATTTACTGGCTGACTGCTACCCTCAGTTATCAGAGAAGTTTCTATAGCTATTTCTTTATTGGCCAAAGGTTCACTTGTTATCTGCTGATAATGAATCTCTTGCATTGCATGAGCGCCATTTCCTTCAGTTAAATACACAGTTTCTGTAGTAACCTCACAATTGTCTACTACTATATTTACCCCTGCACTTGCCTGCTCTTCAGCCGTGCCTGTGAAGCCAGTATATTCGCCGCCTGTTTGCGGTGGATTTCTTGAATCTGCACTCATATTTCACTTCAATTTTCTTTGTAAAAAAGGACGTTTTCACTCAAATTAACACTCAGATGAACGATCGTTGTTTAATGAAAACGATTTGTAATTTATAGCTGGAATTTGGACGCCCTTTGAGCAGAAAATCAGAGGTAAATTTGAAGAAATTTAACAACGGACTTCTCTCAAAAAACCGCCATTTGTTTGTGAGCGACTGAGCGTGCGTGGCTCATCGAGATCAGTGGCGTGGCATTTAGACTCACTGATCTCAAAACTACAACTGAATAGAGTTTTATTGAATATTAATGAGTCATTTTGCAGCCAGAATAGAATTATTAGAATATTTATCTACAAGTCTTTTTACCATCAAACAAATGTCCTTTCTTTCATTTTATTTCTTCATGTTTAAGCAAAGTAAATGCGTTATCCAGTTTTAGTTTCGAGGTCAGAATACAGACTGTATACCACCCGCTCACACCTGTTACCACATGTACTATTATTAACCCAGTATTACCTCTATTGTGGTTGAAGTGTATTGTAGATGGATTATGGAAATTATCGAGTGTGGAACTTTATTTATTCTTTTGAAATGTATATAAATTTCCACACTCAATGATTTCCATCTACAATACCCTTCAACTATTATTCAATCGAGTGAGATCAGAGGTATTTAAATATGTCAAATATCAAGATTTTGCAACGATATTGGTATCATCAGATCAGGATCATCATTGATTGCATTTTTCTGCTACGCAGGTTAGATTTCGCTCTACTCTAATCATAGTTAATAACTATGCGCTAATCTACTCTAGCTTCCTATTTGAAAACGTTGGCCCTTGATTGTCCTATTATTATTATAGGTTGGCCACCGCCCACAAAACACGTGATACTGGAAGCACGATCGAGTGGCTTGAGATGTTCTGCATATCACATTGAAGAAATCATTAAAATTTTTGACTAAGTCAGCCATGATTTCTTACTTGTGAAGCTTCATAACTTCGGCACCAAAGGTAAACTTCTTCACTGCCACTAGTTCAGCGATTAATATCTTTCTGGGCCATTTCCGAGTGTCACTGCAACCTGCTTGTAAATCAAGCACACAACTCACCTTGTCGTAACTGCCATGCGACAGATTTATTAGAAGGGAATATTACTAACTTCTTATTAACCGAACGCAAGGTCTGTACAGAGAAATATCGGACCGAGGTCTTTTATAAACATAGGAGACTTGTTCTACTGATTTTTTAAATTTCATTAGGCTCGTTTGGCAAGTACAGGTGAAAGGGTTCTTTTAGAGATTCTGCCCCCTGGGTTCCTTCAGGCGTCTCTGCCCCCACGCACCTCTTAATTTGTGCAAGCACATTTTGAAATGTCATATATTCAATCCTTCTCTAAACCTAAAATACGATGCAGGTTCGATGCAGGCACATTCTGAAGTTGACTTTGCTCGCAGGCGCTAATTATAATATAACTAAGTATAATATAATATCAGCTCCCTGCTTGGGAGCATCCTCATTTATATCGTAATAGAAGACTTTGCGGAGTGTCCCCAGGACCAGCTGACCATTTCTACTATTCTATGAAGTGCTAGACTTAATTAATGAAAAACACACAGCACACATATTAAATTTTCTTTAAAATGTTTCTATTATCTAAAAGGTCTTTGCTTTGACATATGTGTTTGCATGATCCTAATCAGTGTTCTAGATAACCATGTTAGAAACTCTCTTTTAATCGATGATTGCAGCTATAGACTAAATTTTGATCACAGGTACAGCTAGAATAAGCATCTTAAAATTAGTAAAATTACAAAGTTTGGTTGCAAAATGTTCTACGCATGGGAAAATGTACCACTTTCGCCCCAAATGTGGTGCATTTTCCCTTGCGTAATACAAATTAATACAAAATTTGCAAATTTCGCAGGGGTATATCTTACTCATTTTACAACATTTCGCAACCAAACTTTGCAATTTTACTAATTTTAAGATACTCTATCTACTGTAGCTGCGGTGATGGATTTCGTTCTTCTTGCCTAGATCAAAATTTAGTACATAGCTGGAATCATTAAATGTTAAAAAATACACCCTTGCCTTGGCTACAGTGTCGTAGCAAGCTCGATAATCGGGGGGGGGGGGGGGCTCATATTCATATATTCGTATTCACAGACCATAAAAACAATCGATTTCAAAAGAAATTAATAATGCTGAACACGAATATATGAATATAAGCCCCCCCCCCGAATTATCAAGCTTGCAACGGCACTGGGCTATAAGTATAAAGCCTCATTTCCATGATTCAGGGCTTGAAATTTGTTGTATCCTAATATTCACTGGATACCAGATTCAAAATTGGATACTCGACATCACAAGCTCAGTATCCAATGGGATCATAAACATATTTCTCTTCTCTATAGATATCTCTCCATTGTTTCTTTGTTTCAAATCTTTCTAAACATATCTGAGATTCATTATATTATCAAAGTCATTACAATTGAAATCTTGTTTTGCCTCATTTTAAAATTTTAAATGTTTATATATTATTATCCAAATGTGGGATACTCAGTTTTTTGAGTGGATGCCAGAGTTAAAGTTTGCAGAATCTGCCTACACGATAGTGGGGGAAACTTTGAAATTTCAAGCCTTGTGACTTTTACTTTAGAACTTTTTATCTTGTTGACAAAATATCAGATAGTTCAAAGATGATATAATCGAGGGCTCAAAATAGTGGTGAAAAGAATTTTGAACTGCCAAGTCAAAAATAAAATAGCAGGCATAATCCTCAAACAGCCAGTTGTAGTCAGACCATTTTGGCAATTGGCAGTTCAAAAAACAAAATTCTAACCGAAAAGAAAACAGTTTACCAGGCTATATTTGTTTTCTATTTCAAGCTCTGATATAATCCACACTAAATGCAACATAACTTTGTGAGCAAAAATGTCTTCTTCACCGTCATTTTGGCTGTTTCTGCTATACTCGGGTACTAATAATGTTAAGAAAGGCAAATGTATGCAAATCAGTTTGCCACAATACTGTCTTTAGTTCTAATATTCAACATCACTTCCAATAGCTTTAACAGCCAAAATGGCCATGAAGATAAAGTTTTTTTCTGAGAATTATTCCATTTTGTTTTAGAATGTTCTGGAAATCATACATAAATATGTTAAATTTCCAACCATAATATGTGCATATGTGAAATTTCAGGCTCTGTAGTCAAGACAATTCATTTTCTGGGTGTATTCCAACCCCCTCTCCTAAGTGACATGAAGTTATCCTAGACCATTACACTAAAATGACTATCTACAGTATACTATATACATATATGTAAGTTATGAAGCGGTCATTATTTACAGGGAGGGAGGGGGTGGGGGAAAATACTGGTTGAAAACTTTTCCAAACCTGCCCTCCATCATGCCCGAAGGTGAACATTTGGTGAAGGATACTCAGAGTTATAAATTTAGCCATTGTACGAGCCTCAAATCTTTAACCCCCCCCCCTGATTAAAACTTTTTAACCACCCTCCCTATCTGTGAAGATAAAGTTTTGTTTACCCCCTCCCATGTGTCACCCCCTCTCCACACATAATGACCACTCCTTTTATTAAAAGTATTTACTTATCTTCTCTCTTCCCCAGATGTCACAAACTCCTCTGTGAGAATATGTTCATAAGTTCTGGTATGATTCATTAAAACTGTTAATTCTTGTGCTTTATAAAGTGACAAACTTGTTGTTGTTCAGTATCTTATATTCATTATATTCAGTAAAATTGGTGTGCAATGTTCCGTGAAAGTTCAGGATACAAGAGTTATTCAGCATTATGTTGTTTCTTATGCTTACGTAAGTTTTTTTCCCAAACAAATTCTTTGTTACAAATATCACATTTGTGATTCTTAGCTCCACTGTGGGTGTCCTTGTGTCGTTTCAAGTCATATGAGCGAGCATAAGCTTTATCACACTGGTCACATTGATAAGGTTTTTCATTTGAATGTGTTATTTTATGTCGTGAAAGCTTGGAAGCTGTGGCAAATATCTTCTTGCAAACATCACAGGTGTGCATTTTTTCACCATTCTTACTAGTCGTGGCTGCTTCTACCGTTGTCTGGATATTTTCATCACTTGTACTAGTGGTAGCCGCATCTGGTTCTGCCGTCTTCTGGATACTTTCATCACTCGTACTAGTGGTAGCCGCTTCTGGTTCTGCCGTTGTCTGGATATTTTCATCACTCGTACTAGTAGAGGCTACTTCTGTTTCTTCACTTGTGGGATAATCAACTTGTTCTGAAGTATTTTGACCCTTTGTTTCTTCACTAACATGGTTTTGGTTTTCATTAGCCAGTGCAGCTAATGTCTTTCCACATTCTATCAGAAGTTCAGCAGCGTGTTGTTTCTTATGTTGACGTAAACTACCAGACCAAAAGAATGCCTTGTCGCACATATCGCATTGATAACTTTTGACTCCACTGTGGGTCTGCTTGTGTCGTTTCAAATCAAATGACTGAGCGTAGGCTTTAGGACACTGGTCACATTGGTAAGGTTTCTCTCCTGTGTGTCTTCTCTTGTGAGTTTTAAGTTTGGAGGCTGAGGAGAATTTCATTTCACATTCATCACATTCATGCGTTTGTCCTTTCAAATGTTGCTTCTTGTGTTTACGCAAACTGAATTCATAAAGAAACGTTTTGTGACATTGATCACAAGCAAATGTTTTATCTCCACTGTGACTTTCTTGATGACGTTTCAAGTCAAATGATTGGGCATAAGCTTTGGGACATTGATCACATTTATATGGTTTTTCCCCGGTATGTGTTCTTTGATGACATTTCAGTTTGTACATGGTTGCAAAACTCTTCTCACAAACATCACATTTATTTTTCTTTGGTCTTTTTTCTTGTACAGAATTGTCACCATTGGGATCAGTGTTTTGTCCATCACAAGTGTTTTTATGAGTATTAAGATAGCCTAAAGCAGCAAATGCCTTCCCGCAGTCACATTTAAAAGGTTTCTCAATACCATGGACTGCCTTGTGTTCTCCTAATGCGCTAGACCAGGTAAAACTTTTGTCACAAATGTCACATTTAAAAGGTTTTTCTTCCACATGCTGTCGTTTATGTTGTCGTAAACTGCCCGACCAGAAGAACGCCTTGTCGCACAAGTCACATTGGTAACTTTTCACTCCGCTGTGGGTCTGCTTGTGTCTCTTCAAATCAAACGATTGTGAGTAAGCTTTTGGACACTGGTCACATTGGTAAGGCTTTTCTCCTGTGTGTGTTCGTGTATGGCATTTGAGTCTGGAGGATGTTGTGAATGTCTTCTGACACACATCGCATGTGTATAGTCGTCCACTGGATGAAGGGTTAGTATTTGGCGCCACAATACCATTCATCTCATCTTCAGTGTGTTTATTTTTATGTCTATTTAAGTACCCTAATGCATTAAATGTTTTCCCACAGACATCACATTGATGTGGTTTGTCAGCGTTAGCTTCAGCATGAGTTTTCTTGTGGTCACCAAGGGCACTCGACCAGGTGAAACTTTTATCGCAAATATTACATTTGAAAGGTTTCTCCTCAAGGTGTTGCTTTTTATGTTCACGTAAACTGCCGGACCAGAAAAACGCTTTGTTACATAAATCACAATGGAAAGATCGGATGCCACTGTGAGTTTTCTTATGTCGTTTTAGATCAAAGGACTGGGCATATGCCTTGTCACATAAATTACATTTGTACGGCTTGGCACCTGAATGTGTTCGTTTATGACATATCAGTTTAGATGAAGTAGCAAATGCTTTGTTACATTGGTCACACTGGTGAGGCTTGTATCCTGTATGAGTCGTTTCGTGATAACGTAACCCTGGTAATGTGAAAAATTTCTTATTGCATTTGTCACATTTATAAGGAGTCACACCGGTATGTGTTCTTATATGATTCTGTAGAGATACAAGATTGGAATAGGCTTTCTCACATGAACCACATTTATACGGACGTTCCCCGGTATGTTTTCTCTTGTGTATAACCAAGTAGCCGGCATCAGCAAATGATCTCTTACAAACATCACATGTGTATGGTTTAATGCCGGAATGTGTGCGTTTATGTCGAGAAAGAGATTTAGATTGGGAAAATGATTTTTTGCACACATCACATGTATAAGGTTTTTCACCAGTGTGGATTCTACGATGACGTATCAAGTCACCTGACTGCGAACAACGTTGTCCACAGATGTCGCAAACATATTGTTCATTACTATGAATTTTTTTATGTCGATCTAGAGCACTTGCCTGTGAGAATGACTTCTTACAAACGTCGCAAGCATACGGTTTGTCGTTAGGATCAATATGTGCATGTTGTGTGAGCAAACTCGTGAACAGATTCCCGATATCAAAGTTGTAGACTTCATTGTCCGGCTGAGGCGTCGGGTTCACCATACTGGCGTTCATTGGAACAGGATTGAAATAAGGAACATTTCCTGGGATATTACCACCGTAATATTCATTCATTTTCACTTCGTTTGATTCAAAATCACTCTTAGAGCAATCTTTGATAAAAATTATTCTTTAATTCTGCAATAAATTCCCACAAAATCAATATAAAATCAATATAAACTCACAACAATCGTCAGTTCTCACAACGCGCAATGCAGAAAGTATGTGGGCTATCGATCAAACATTGTTCACGTGACAGGATATTGACTCGTCACACCCAGCCACAGTCCAATCAGAATCCGCGATTGTGAATTATTGAATGATATCCAATGTCATGCGGCGAGAAGTATTTGCGGACTGCAGAACTTTGTTGGTGCGGACATCTAACTAGCGGCCAGACTGGCAGTGAATTTCTAGATCTTGCGTGTGGGGAAATACTAATAGGGTATTATCGTGGGCCGTGAATTGCCAATATTTGTTCTTGCGAAATATGAAATGACTGATTTATGTGTCATTATTATTATAAACGAATTTATACACAAGATAGCCCTATCATGATACAATATATTCATATTCATATAAAGAAAAACCCAATATTGAAGTTTTTCAACTAAATACCAGCCTAAAATGAACATGTTTCGTGATTGAATTGCTCATACAAAGTGATCATACGTTCTTTATTTTTATTAATTATTGTGAAAAACCGAAGCCTGTGTCGTCAGAAACTAGAAACGTGGATAAATGGACTCAAAGATGGGGACTCAAATTCAACCCTCGAGAGTTGAATAGCACATCATCAACGGTGAAACTTTACAGCATGTCAGAAATACCTTTTAAGAGATACCTGGGCGTGACAGTCATCCATAGGCGGTGGAACAGGGGGCTAGGGGGCTACAGCCCTCAAAAATAAAATTAGTGGGGCGGCTGGGGCCGAAAAAAACGGATCGTCTGTCTTTCCACCCCATTTTTATATGTTGGACAATTTATGGAAATTAGCCTTAGCCCCCACCAAAAAAAAACCTGTTCCGTCGCCACCATAGTCGCCAGATTGCAAACAAGTTATTTTTCGACATGTGACGTCACAAATTTACAAGTTGGACTGTTGGAGTGATATTGGCACAGATATTGGTCTTGTGATTTAGTGTACAGGAATAAATTGCGTGTTGCGGGTACCTGTTCTGCTTGGATAATATTTTACTTTTACTTGACACAACATGGGATTATTTTGTTCTCAATATTTTTGTTGTGTATTCCTCCTTACTATATCGTTCAACGAAACTTTTGGATATTTTCGCCTCAAGGCTCATTTTCCCAGACAGCCTGTGTCAACAACAAACCAAGCAGCAAAGAAATCAGAATGTAAATTTTGTACGTATGAAACCAAGTATTTTGATCAAAAGGTCAGCTATTTAATATGAGAATTGTAGAGTTATTGGGAAATATTTGGTATTAAATGTACTGTTTACTTTAGTTTTATATATATGACGAATATATTGGTTGAAGCTCATTAGCTCAATGAATATTTAAAATTTCATTATTAATAACTAATTATCTTGCCCCTATGATTATCTCTGAATTCACTTGAAACTGCACTTTTATAAACATAAGCTACTATGTTAATTGCAAATTTGTCACAAAATATAAATCTTTTAATTAAAATCAGACCAAGCTTGTAAATATTGGCATTAGGGGGATGTTTCACTGATCTATCAGTGGGATGTTTACATTCATTTGGCTGACTACCATGAGCCAATAGATCTACACTTTCTGAATTTGATGCGGCCTTACTAGCATAACTGATATAACTGTAGTGTTTGCAAAGTAGGGCAAAACTGGACAAGATCTCCTCCATGTAATCTCAATTTGGGGTGTGTTTACTGCATGAGCCCTAGGCCCTGGTTTGAAGATCTGGCGACTGGGGCAAGCCCTGATTTGGACCATCTTGCCAGGACTGGCTCACTTCCATCATTATTATGAATAATGAAAAATTTCCACATGGAAAGGTTTTTTTAAGTTTACGGTAAGCTGATACCTTTCTGCCTTATTTTATGAAGTCCAACATCATATTCTGGCAAATCAAATTTTCAAACAACCAACTTACTATTAAATATTAATTATATTATTCTAGAGCTAAATATTTGAGCTAAATATTGAAAAAGCTGATTTTCTTACAGATATGGTGGGTATTTCATTGAGACCTACTAGGAGGGTCAGCCCGTCCTGTTGTGTTTATATGGGAATTACTATTCAGCCATACTAAACAAATCTTGGCTATAGGTTCATGGGGAAGAATTTTTAATAAGGATTTCAATTAATAACTCATTGCCTGCCTCCTAGTCTCCTACGCAGCCTGTTCGCGGGTCCGAGGTTTTCTCCCCAAAACCTCGGACCCGCGAACAGGCTGCGTAGGAGACTACCTGCCTCCCTGCCCATAGTGGGCTTATATAAACACCCCCTAACTGGACTTAGTGGCATGTATCTCTTGCAAATGGACAGGACTTTTGTGTTGATACTCAGGGCTGGTAAGGAGTTGCATGGGAAATGGAGAAGAACTTTCCCAAGTTTCCTTATGTCATCATCATGTGTGCACTAACTTCCACACTCAGCAAAATTGCTGTAGCAATGATGCAAGACTTGATATTGAAACATATATCCTGCCGGTCCAAGCTAGGGCCATGTGGCATCACAGGGAGGCACCCTGTTGGGGACCCAAGCCCAATGCATTGGGAACTTGTTGTAACCAGTGTGTAGTGCTGTTAGACACTGTTCAAAACAATTGTATTTTGCCACAAAGCATCTTCAAAATACAGGAAATACCATTTCAGAGACTCAAAATTTAAACTTTTTTTTTGGGGGGGGGCGAGCTTGCCTCCCTGATTTCAGTGGCTGTAAAAACACAGCCTCCCCCCTGCAACCATAACAGCCCTCCCAGTATCCTAGTAGTTGTTTGGATAATAGACATTCTACTTAGCGGTATCAAAACATTGAAGTTGGCTTTCTTTGGGGGGCTGGGGGGGGGGCAGTTGCCTCCCCCCCAGTGAAAATGAAGTCATGCAAATTACAAACATAATTCAGGCAAAAATTGGGGGAAATAACTTTAAAAAGAAGACATATGTAATATAGTATATGAAAATACCAGAAATATGTAAAAGTAACACAAAATTTTGACAAATAGGAAAAACGTCAGGTGAATTTCTTTCTGCCCCCTGATTTTTCCCGTTGTTGGGAGAAAACCCTGTGGATGACACACATTTGTTTAGTATCCCAATGGATACTGAGCTAATTCCAGTGTCCAATTTAACACATATGGTATCCCAATGGATACTGAGCTAATTCCGGTTTAACACATGGTATGCCATGGGTATTGGGTCACTGCAATTAGTCCTGCTTGTCAGGGAATTGCTGGCTCTGTGCAGGTCAAAACTGGGTAAATGTTTCAAAGCTGCAAATGTTTCAGTTGTGAAAGATCACTTTCAGCACGTTGCTATCATTTTCTGCCATCTTCATTTTGCTGTCACAGTTTGGACAAATTTTTCCACATTCTCAATCAAACTGGGATCTCAAGACACTCTTTAAAAGTGTCTAGAAAAGATTGTCCTTCGGTAGTGTTTAGTCTTTTCCCCTGGACTACCTCATTAGTCTTGTAGCCTTGAGGCTGCTTCAAGAGTTTAATCTGGTTGTTCAACTTGGTGTTGATTAATTATTATTAACCCATTAACTTGCATTGCACTCTAATGTGCCCAGCTAGTACTTTATTATTTTACTCTGTCTAATCCTAGATAGTTTTGCTCGTCAAGGGGAGAGCGTTGGTGCTCAATGCCAATGAATGGGTTAAGGCCGTTAAGCAATGGTCAGCACAGCACTTAGCTCTAAACATAAAGCAGATGACATATGGATCTTCCCTATCTTTTTTCTAACAATAATTTAATTAAAATGAGATGCCAGTGTTTGAAAAAAACAACTTTTGTTGAATTGTTGGCATTCAGCAGTTCATGTCTTATTGCAGTAATCTATTCTTGGGTTTCAATCACGTGATATTTTAGCAAAATTTGACTCAGGTGGGGGTCAATCATTGGACTGAAGTTAACTAAAACAACAAAGAAACATGTAAATGAATTCTCCGACTATATTATAAAAGCCAATAGGCAATACAAAACAATATAAACAATATAAAAGCTGTCCCTTTTAGCCCAAGCTTACCCTTGACACATACCCTTGACCCCCCACGTCACGTCATATGGAACCCAAGCATTACAGTTGGACAGAATGAATGAGAGTGGATTGATAAAAAATCATTACGCTACTATATAGTATATAGTAATATTCGAAGGAAGCATCTCAAAACCTTGGCGTCACTAACCATAGGTTTAGATTTCAGTCCTCATTTTTGGTTTGAAAGATTATTATTTAATTCTCCAGTTTTGCACTAAACGATTACCACTGGTCAAAGATTGGTTATAGGGTTCGTTAGGCCATGGGTCAATATGCCATTTGATATAATGTACTTTAATAAGTCATAGTGTTTGAATATGTTTTATATTTTAACATATAGTTGGACCACTTCAGTTTTGAAAGAAATAAGACATTTAAACAACGTTACTTGGTCAGTGATAAATACTGGAAGTCCGGAGGGCCAATATTGTTTTACTGTGGTAATGAAGGTGATATCACGTGGTTTTGCAATAACACAGTAAGTCAAGTGACGTACTTTCTACCAGTGGTGCATGGGTACGCTGTATTGGGGGTGCACACATATTTTGCCCTCTTGACGTGCTGAAAATGTCGATTCTTTTGGCTTAAATTTGATGAAACTATTTCCTTAAATAATAGGCTATATTTCATATTATTCTGAAACTGCAGAGTACAACGAAAAAGTATTTGTCTCGAGCGGGATTAGAATTCGCATAGTGTTTCCAGACTGCTGCTCTACCCATCGAGTCAACGGGGATTGGTAGCGAGTCTTATCCAATTTAAGTGCACGAAATATTTTTGTGACTTAACGCTTGCCTTGGAAGACGCGCAGTGTTTCAATTTCAGAACCATCCTACAATTACTAGTTTCTCATATCTCTCAGGATGGTTCTGAAATAAACTATATATTAAACGGCTTTTATGAAAGTTTCAGATTGATAGGGATATAACTACTTGAAAAATAACTACCTTGAGCGAAGGCCCTCCTTCGGGAAGGTAGTAATATAGTAGCCAATATAACTAGTCACCTGTCCTTCAAAAGGTTTCAGATATTATTGTCTTTCCTACTAATATACAGTATGCAATATAATTTGTTGTCAGTTTTGGAGAGGATTTAATGATTCTGCTACAGTATATATATATATATATAAGTCGTAAAATGTAATTACAATTATCATCAATTTAGTTTGGTTGGTTTGTGGTAGCATTTTGTTTTGTGACCATTATATGTCATTAAAGTATTGTTCTAACCAAGTACTCGTGAAGTATGATAAATGTTGGTACGATACGTTTGGAAAGGAACTAACAGGAAGTGGAGAACTGTATAGTTTTGTAGCAGACTATCTGTAAAGGTTTTTAGCATGCAGTATTTAAGAAAGACTCCACATCTATTAATTTAGGGATTCATGTGGGATATTGCAGAAGAATTTAATGCAATGCTAGTTTTTGGTGAGCACAGATTTTATGGAAAATCTCTGCCATTTGGTAACACTTCTTACAAGGTAAGGCTGGCCATTTCTAAAATATTTTGTGTAAATTGAGTTTTCGCATCAAATTACGTCATCGCCAATGACCATGTTTTACGTCATTGCAACAGAATTTGTCATGATTAGAGACTTTTGATTTTTAGAGTCCTGAACATTTGGGGTTCTTGTCGTCAGAACAAGCACTGGCTGATTTTGCAACGATGATACAACATATCAAGGTAAGTGTGGATCAGAAGTCCCAGCCGGCTGCACCTAGTCTCGTGACAGGGTAAGAAGTCCTTGATTGATACCAGAGTGTAAGCAACACAATAATTGTATGAATGATAATGCGAACGCTGTTGGATTTATGTTTCTTCAAATTTTGATTTCCACTACCGCTACAGTTACCATGAACCAATCAGATGCATGTAACCGTGAAAGCGTATTAAGCCTGTGGTAGGCAGTGGTATAGTTGGAGTCAAATCTTAACCTTTCTAATGTCAGTAATATGTCGTCTAATCCTTACTGAACCTCTTCAGTTTTCATAACTCAGATGCATCAGGAACAGCGTTCCGTTGCAAGTAGATGCAAAAAATCATCACATCTGCTATCACCCTCATGCAAACAACAAATGATGATATCACTAATACCTCATAACTTCATACTGATCATATATATCAACTCTCCTGAAACGCATATTAAGACCCACACTATTATTTACGTACTAGATAAAACATGAGCAGCCGATCTTTATCTGATATAAAAACTCGAGCCGTAGGCGAGAATTATAATAATATCAGTAAATCAGGACAAATCTTTATGAGTTTTACAAACATTGATTAAACATTCATTTCTTTTGAATTTTCTTCATGAATTATTAATGAGTTTTATAATACTCATTAAATTAAATTTACGGTATTATTTATATTTAATTAGTTTACATTCATGATATAATGAATTACCAACTGTACAATATGACCATGCCAAGTGGATGCCATGTCTGTTTTATGCTTTCAGAAAACACGTGACGGTGCAGATCACAGTCCTGTAATTGCGTTAGGTGGATCATATGGAGGTATTTTGTTTTCTCAATGCTGTCTTCTTCAATGAGCGTGATATAAAATGGAGCTTCTATATATCTGAGACAAAATCCTGGGGGTTGTTTGTTCAAAAACCGGTTTATGGCTCAATCCAAGGTTAACAAAATTTTCAAAGCAATCTTCCCAACAGTTTGTTCGTAAAAATCGGGAAATGTTTTTCTAGAAATCTTGTCTGCATCAACAGAAGTTTTGGTTTCTATAATTTTGAAATAAACAGACGTGCAGAATACATAAAACAAAACATTAGGTTAAATTTTAACCGAGGGTTAGCATTAATCCAGCTTTGAATAACTGGCCTCAGATGATTTAGATAAAGTTGAAGTTCATTCAAATATATTTCATATCTTGGACTACTTTGAGATTATTGATTTTCATGAAGACGAATCACAAGCTATATACATGAAACATTCATGTCTGTGTTCTAATTATGAAGATATAAAACCACTCGTCTTTGGCTCATGTTATATCTTATACAATATCTTATACATCGCTCCTGCGAAAAATTACCTCGAGGTGGGAAAGTGCAGATTGAAATTTCTTCTAGGACATTAAAGTTATTTCAACTGCGCAATGTCCAACTACAACTGTTTTTATAATGGTATCACAGGTTTTCCCATTTTGTGTCTTTCATTCCCAGTAACCCAAGTCTCATTTACCAGCCCAAAAATAGACAAATCCCAGTTCTCATTTTACCCTTTGGGACCCTCTTACCATGATACTTTTGTTTTCAGGCATGTTGGCGGCTTGGTTTAGGATGAAATTTCCAAATGTTGTAGCTGGGTTAGTGTATTCGTGAAATTCATTTCCGTGTTATGTTTTGTTAACATGGCTACAGGGCAGGGCCATAGCGACCGGTGTGTGTGTGTGTGTGTGTGTGTGGGGGGATGTAACAGCCCCGCAGTATTAGTTCATGAGTAATTGCAGGTACATTTAGGCGTGACTTGAGTTGGTTTTCAGGGGAATCAAGATAAGAGCATTGACAGGCAAATGTGGACGCTAAAAGTGAACGCTAGCTAAAAATGCATAACGTAGAACGTAATTGAAAAAATCAGGTAATCTGACCCCCCCCCCCCCCCTGAGTACAGAAGTACAGTTGTATTATTCACTCCAATTAATAAACAAAAATCTTGGGAACAACTTTCAAAAATAAAATCATAATAGCGGTTCAAAATCAATGTGAAATTTCCGTTTAATTGTTATCGAAAGTTTGTAGAGATTTATCATTAATTTTACAATATCTTTCTAGTGCTATTGCCTCTTCAGCTCCAATTCTTCAGTTCCAGAATATCACGCCTTGTGAGGTATGGAAATTAACAATTAAAACCTCCTTGTGAGGTATGGAAATTAATAATTAAAACCTCCTTGTGAGGTATAATCGCTTAATAAACTGCATTTCCGCTTGCAAGAAAATTTTGCTGTTGAAATATTTCGCTCAATTTCTTTTGAATTGTGAGCAGTTAAGTAGAACTGATTTATTCGGATGCTCACAATTCGAAAGAAATCAAGCGAAATATTCGGACGACGAAATATCTCTCTGTTAAAGTGGAAATCCTCACTTATTCAATTATTGTATAAAATATTATTGTATAAAAACTTATGTGTATCAGGAGTCTTTACCCTCGGTTGGGTTGTTCGTTGTCAGCAGGAAACTAAAGGCTGTGGCGGCCATGGGTCAAGGCAAACGCATTTACAAAAGTTTGTCGTAAGCCTGGTTTCCATATGGTATAACTGTCGCGAACGTGTCGTGAAGTGTTTGTCGTGAATGATTTTTATGCGTGTTTCATATGGTTGTAACTGTCGTGCACTGACGTAAGTTAATTTCGTACCCAGGGATCGTACAAGCAGCTGGCGGCAGTTTTAGAAAAGACAAACACGGTCCCCCCCCCCCCCTAATTGTCGCAAAACTGTTGCAACGCTGTCGTTTTTCCGTTTCCATTAAAACATAACCGTCACGACACGTTTTTAGCCTGACGCAACTGTCGTCGAGATAGAACTCGAGTCTATCTCGACGACACTGTTGTAACTGTCGTGAACTGTTGCCAGCGTGTTGCGACAAGACTTTCTTCATGTTTCCATTTGGTCACGAACACCATTCTGACGACAGTTACAACACGTTCGCGACAGCTACATTAACCATATGGAAACCATGCAGACTTTAAGTTTGTGTGAAAAGACTTGTGGATTAAAGTGCATGCATAATTGGTACTTGATTTTCGCTGACGTAGGTTGTGTGCGAGTGCCTTCTAGTACTTCGTAATGGTTTTTTATTTCCAGCATTCGAATTGATCCTGTTTGTTATAAGTCTTATTCCAAGTATTAAACAATAATTTACAGAGAAAGTTCGTCATTTTTAGACATTTTACAAAATTGTTTCGGATGATTTCGCAAGAGAGGGAGAAACGTGTTTCAATCTGATAAAAAAATCCTGGAATATTATTTTTGATGATGGCGAATCAAGTAAGCTGTTTAGTTTCTCAAACTATAGTAGCTGTAATATCTAAGTACTAGGTATATATTTGTGCAATAGAATATATTTAGCATAACATAACGATATAGTTCTGATTGATGTCTTAGTGTGTTCCTTCTACACAGCGTGTCCTATGTCTATATATTTAATTACAATCTCGTTCCCCGAGCCTGCGATCCTTGGGAAGGAACGCGAGGCTCTGGGATAATCCGTTTCAGGGAGGAATCTGATTGGCCGTTGAAATGGAATGCGTAGTTCAATCTTAGCCAGGATTCCTGGCTTCCGGCAACGGATTAATTTATCCCAAAGCCTCGCGTTCCTTCCCGAGGATCGCAGGCTCGGGAACGAGATTGATTTAAATTAGTTCCGACCGTATAGTCCTGGTGCCGAGTGAATGACCTGACGTCATTACTATATCACTCCCCTTTTTTATCTAATTACCGACGAGGGAATTCCCTCGCCATATCGTTCTGGTTGCCTAACATTCCTTGTCGATCGTCCTGGCTCAGGGTTAGTGTCAATTCTGTCTCGTTCGGTCCTTTCCGCGTCATACGTTTCACTGTCATCGTCGTCGTCGACTTGAACATCACTCTTTGGCTTCGCTTGAAGTGTGATACATTGCGAGTTATAGTGTGCCCTGTCTGACTACGTGCTGTCACCGTGTTGTTGTTTCGCGAGATCACAATGTGGGGTGTTTCATTGAAGTTAGGGGTGAGTTTGTTCCCTCTCTTTTGCTTCCACAAAACGTAGTCGCCAACTTTTATTGGGCTTTCTTTAACGTTTCTCTTTTCATCAGCGTAACGTTTGTTGTATTGTTGTCTTTCACCTTCCTTTTTCCGAACCTCGACGATTTTTTCCTTGAACTTGGCGATTAAATAACTGTTCAGAGGGTGGAACACCAGTGGTACAATGCGGTGTGGTGCGATGGTGCAACAGGAAACGACTTATCTCTTGTTTCCATGGACGACCGTTTAGCAGCTTTCTGGGATTTTCCCAAGGGTTGCATGAAGCGTTCTCCCTCACCGTTGCTTTGGGGCCATTTGGGAGTAGAGAAGATTGCCTTTATTCCAACGGCGATTAGATAGCGTTGGTATTCTTCGCCATTGAAAGGGGGACCATTGTCGCTTTTGAGAAGGGTAGGAATGCCATGAACGGCAAAGATCTTGTCGAGTTTTGGTATCACATTAGAGGCTCGCGTGGAGTGGACAATTTCGACCTCGGGAAACCGAGAATATCTATCTACAACGACAAGAAGGTATTCTCCAGTGGGTAGAGGACCATAGAAGTCGACATGAACAGTTTGCCAAGGTCCATCAGGCATGGTGGTGGGGGTGATTGGCGCTGGTGGGCCGGGTGGGCCAAGGGCTTGGCAAGGAAACCTCTCAACAACATCTCTAAACCTTTACCGCAAAATCCTAATAAAGATCTTAAACTCAATGACATTCTCGAGAGAAATGCCCAAGTTTTCGACGGATTGGTAAAACTGAAAGGACAGACTGTCCACCTAAACATTGATCCCGATGCTAATCCTAAAGCTGAACCAGCGCCGCATCCCTTACCATATTCGAAACAAAGTTAAAGATGCAATCATAACGACAACAAATGTCGTATCTGTTGTTTGTACGTAAACAAGTCACGTGCGTGGACAAGGTCTTATCTGTGCGTGTAGCTGTGGCAATTTCGTCGAATGGCATGGCGCGGGGGGGGGGGGCAATGTGTCGTTCAATGAAGTTGACGTATTCTTCAGCCATGCGATCCGGGTATGACATGCGTGGTGACGCAGGATGACGTGATAAATAATCAGCGGGGTTGGTGGCACCAGGAAACCTTTGTTGTTGTCGACGCGAGCCCTGTTGGGGTATCGGCTATCCTCTCACAAAAATGCCAAATGTCGCGAATTCCAAAGTCATTGCTTACGCCAGTCGTGCCTTATCGCCCGTCGAAACACGTTACTCCCAAACCGAACGAGAAACCCTCGCTATCGTCTGGGCTGTCGAACATTTCCACATGTTCCTGTTTGGACATCATTGTAATATCTTCCCGTCGCGGGCTTGTCGGGGAGCCTCGGTCAAACGAGGACGAGAGTTGATGAGAGTTCTCTCGCTCGCGTTTGACCGCCAACTCTTATATAGGGCTTCGGTGGCCAAGTGGTTAGCGCACTTGCCTTTCACCTCCGAGGCCACGGGTTCAAGCCTCAGTGAGAACTTTCTCAATGCGACTCGAACCCAGTCCTCATGTAAAAAGAGCAAAGTCAACGCTCTGCCGAAAGTCGTGGGTTTTCTCCAGGTACTCCAGTTTCCTCCCACAGGGAAACTTGACATAACTTGACATAGAAAGTTGACATAGAAAGTTGACATAGAAAGTTGACATAGAAAGTTGACATAGAAAGTTGACATAGAAAGTTGACATAGAAAGTTGACATAGAAAGTTGACATAGAAAGTTGACATAGAAAGTTGAC